AGCCAGCATGCTGGCTGGGGAATTCTGGGAGTTGAAGTCCACACCTCTTAAAGTTGCCGAGGTTGAGAAACCCTGTCCCAAAGGCACATTTTCTTTGGCAGATTCGAAATGGGGAAGCGGTATTTCTGTGACTACTGTGACCGCACTTTCCAGGACAATCTTCACAACAGGAAAAAACACTTGAATGGGGTGCAGCATTTAAGAGCCAAGAAAGTCTGGTACGATCTCTTTCGAGGTAAGAAACAAGCTTCAGGAAAACGGGGGAGTTGCAGGAATTCAGGGAGAGCTATTGTGTGTTCCCGAATTTCCTCTGCTGTGTCTATCCACGTGGCCAGCTGGTTCAGCAACCTTTGCCGATGGGGCAGGGAGAGGGGTAGGCCGTGGTGATCCTTCTCCTGCACCCAGGGTGCACAAAAGTGGCCACCTAACTGCGGTTTTCAACGTGACAGCAGTGGAAATGGTTGAACCTAAAAGGAATGAATCATATTGACAGTACGTAATTAGTTTTAATTCAGGCTGCATGAAATCAAATGGAGTTTGGGTTTAGCTCCTGCCAAGCTTCATTGGTTAGCCCTCACGTGCTTGGAGGACATGTGGCTGAGGACACGTGCCCTTCAAACCACAAGGAAGTTCCATACCTCTGCTCTCCAGGGATGTGGTTAAGCCCTTGCCTGCTTACTTTTAAAAAATGATTTCTAGAGGATAATCAAGAGTCTCAAAGCATCCAGAAAACTAGCAATGTTTGGAATAGCAGAAGCTTTTGTGGGGATCTAAATCCATGGCTTCATTGTTGAAGCAAGTGAAAGCCAATAGAGTATTAGGAAGTCTAAATATAATCCATAGAAGTCTCACCTGTCCTTATTATTTCTGTTGCATTTTGATGCTGTTGATTGCTCATTCATAGCCTAGATGGGATTTTTAAGAGCTTGTTTTCACACACAGACACACACATACTTTGATGTGTGTCCAGAGCATTACTCTTCATACTATTCTGGACCTTTCTGGTATAACCCTACCTCTCTTTTTAGACCATTTTTTACATTAGCTGGGAATTCAAGAAGGATTCTGGTACAAACTGCTGGTATTAACCATGTTCTGCCCTGCAGATGGACACATCCAGATATTTATTTATTTGATGGTCCAAACAGTCACGGTGACAGCTGTGACCGAAGCCCCATCTGATTATACACTCAGAAAAAGGATCAGGACTTTATTTGTAGAGTCACAACTGTTGTCTTTACTTTTTTTTTTATATGTTCCTCCTCCTCCTCCTCCTCCTCCTCCTCC